ATTCCTTTGGAACATGTACAGTATGTGCAGAGTACACCAGTGTGAGCCAATTAGTTGGCTGCATCACCCTTCTCATTTTGAAGTCCCAAAACCAAGACAGAAATTTATCATTTCACTCAAGATCAGCAAGAGTAACTTTCAATTACCTACAAAATAAAAATTCTCAGATAATCCAGGAGGTAAATCCAAACAAGGGTCTTGTTTTTGAAAGCCTTTAAGAATCCAACAGTGTTTAGCACTATTAATTGCTAGAGAAAATGTTACTCTTTGAAGAGCTTACAATCTAAATGTTACAAACAGATCAATGAATATGTTAAAACAACATCTTAACAGCAGCAGCCTAGTGTTAAGAATTCAAAGGTAGGAGGACAGTTTTAGGGATTTGTTCTGGAAAAGATGACATGAATCATCAAATAGATCTTAATGGAAATACTGTGATTTGGACTAGAGGAAAGAAGAAAAGACACTGCATTAGAGTAAGAGAGAGATATATTTGAAAGGATGGAGGCAGACATGTGGCATCTGTGAGAACTCAGGAACTTGGGATACAATCATGGTCAGCACTGGGCATGCTTCAGGACCATCTGTGGCTTCACATATGGTACCAATGTCAGGTAGGTATGTCTGTTTCCTTCATTTTTTGAAGGAAAAAAAACTGTGCTTCCATATCATTAATACTCAAATACATTCATCCTGGTTTTCTCTCTATAGTGGATAGAAAACGTGAAAAGTTAATTCTCTAATGACAGGCTTTATAGAGTCCCTTCTATTACTCAGACTGAAGTAAAATGCTCTTAAACATTCATGGTGGAGCTCAGAGATGCTCAACCACCTGGGTCTACTTGTTTACTTAGAAAATATGTATGCAAAATCAGGACCAAAATGTGTTAATATGTACAATATGTGTACATATTGGGAAATAGAAAATGTTCAAATGGGAAGGGGAACAAGGGAGGGGAGGGGGGAAAGAAAAAGAAAAAGTGAAGGAAGAAAAAGAATCAAAGACATTATGTGCAGATACAATTTCCCTAGGATAAATTGATCATTATATATATATCTAAAATGTACCAGCAAAATAAATAAAAAATATGTATCTACCTAAAACTCTGTAATGGTTAAGAGCCACAGAAAGCACATTCATTCAGGTCCTCTGAGTTTCTACCATTCTATAGCAAGTCTAAAATTATTAGGTTGCATAATTTTAGAAACTTAGAAAGTAAAGCTATACCTAAAAGTGATATGGTTAGTGGCACAGCTCTCAAAAGCACATGTTAAGAAATAAGTGTGATAAAGTATCCACTTATCATTGATACTGTGCTTCCACACTATCTGGTCATGTATTAAATAAGTAATAATTAGAATACGTCCTCAAATTTTGGATTCACAAAAGATTTTGGCTTTCAATTACATATAATTTTATTTACTTCTCCTAAACTGCAATACTGTACAACAGATAAAGCTTCATAAAGGTATATAAATCATCTTATCCATAAAGAATTCAGTGTTGGTCTGTTGTTAATTTCCAAACCTCACAAAAAAACTTTAAAACAGAACTTTTGTATATATACTCTTACTAATATTAAATTATATCTTTGTAGTTAATCAATTTAGATATTTTCTCCTAAATAGAAGGACCCAAAATAAAGAAGCATATACAGAATATAGCAACAGTTGGTTATACCAATTTACTTCACTCATACTTTAAGCCTGTGATTTCCATTTAAACATCAACAAAAACAATCTGTACAGAAAACCCAAAGGCAACCATATAGCATAACATGTAAAATGTGCAAATATACTTCAAATGTGAGTTATTAGATACCATTTGCAAGGTAGAACTTTATTGTACTTAATGACTCCATCTCATTCTAGCTAACTTAATCTTTTGCATGTTTAGCCAATGCAAATGTACAAGGCACAATTTAGTGTTGATGTTCAAGTGTGTAACACACATCCTCAGATTTGAAGATGTTAAAATAACATAATGTCATGTTTATATTTTATTGTTTAATGAGACATCACTTGATTTCTAAAGCTTCATAAAGTATTACAGTCATAATATATAAGTGACCAGGACAAACCTCCCTGAACTTAAAAGGAGAAAGACAAGACCCTTACTATCCTACATTAAAAACAAATTATATACATATATGTACACACATATCACACATGACACACAGGAAACTTCCTATAATCCAAAGGGATGACATTTTCTTATTAGTAAAGGTTCCCATTACAGTATTTCATGACAGATATTTTAAAAATTCATAGTTATTTACCACCTGTTTTGGTCAATCTTTATAAAAAGACACTGAAATAGACAATTTCTCCTTCAATGTAAAGACAATGCCTAATATAGAAAGTCATCTCTTGAGACTGTACAGTGGAAGGTTCATTCAATTAAATACGAAAACTTGCTGCCTTTAAAGAAATTACTAAACAGAAAAAAAAAAATCAACCTATTAAAAATCAGTAAGAGCTGGCTATCACACAATTCACTCTTTAAACCAATCACAGCAGTGCTCTTTGTTGTTTTATCGCCCATCCCTGAGAGTAAAGATTTACCATTTTAACTCTTTTAATAAAGAAAATAAATTTTACAATGTTAAGAATGTTTACGAAAATGATTTCAAAATATAAAGCCCTATTTCACTTTAGTTAAAAAAAAAAAAAAAGAAAAAAGATAAAGACTCTGCAAAGACCACCACTCATAAAACTTTTAAGTATTTGTAGATCAATCAGTGTTCAATACTCTTTTTACTGGGTAACTTCCACTTTCTATACCATTCACATATTGCGCATTTTCTTATAACCTACTATTTTATAATTTTTGTTATTGGAAGCATTTAATAGGTGACAGAGGAAAAGTACAATATAAAACTTAGAGGAACTCTGGAGAAAGATGTATTTTTCTCCATGGTAGAAGAGTTTTATTGGAAATGATCTGAATGCCACCCAAGAAAGGCATAAGTATCTGTGAAAGCAGGAATACATATAGTAAACATCTTCCTTGCTGTCTTTGGTTTAGCCTTCTTGGCCAAAATCTTCTGTAAACTTCTTTAATTTCAACAAGTCGTGTTCATTGACTGTGGGTTTTGTGTTAGACAGTGACCGCAACATATCCGGCTGTTAGGGAAAAGGATGGAGGGGGTATTAAAAATGGATTTCATAAAAAAATCATTTCACTGCTATCAATACTATTAATAACTTTAACCTAAATGAGTATGAATATCTGCAGAGTACCATACACTGCTGACAATAAATGCCCTTTTTTAAAGCACTTTGATCATGTCATTCCTTTGTGTAGCAACTTCCAATTTCTCCCCAACTCTTGATCAAACCTTTATAAGAGCTGCTCATTACCTGGTGGAAGTATAATCCTATTAGTCTAAAGATCAAGGCCCTCCCCAGTATGGTTGTGATCTAACTTCTGGCCTTACCTATTTTCCTTAAACAAGAGATCAATTATCCTAGTAAGCACAATTCTAAAGGAGTATTAATAATTTTACTACAAAAAATAAGTAATTTTACTATATAAAATTAGTAATTTTACTACAAAGCTTTTTGGAAATCCTTAACTGAAGCTAAACATTTTGAAAACCAAGCATCCATAAACAAAAAAATATAAATGTAACAACATTTCAAGCACCCTAAGTTCTCTAAAAATAACATAGCTTCACACTGAGCTATATCCACTAGTCCTTTAAAAAATACTTTAAAATTCTGAGACAAGTTCTCACTAAATTACCCAGGCTGGGTTCAAACTTAGGATCCTCCTCCTGCCCCATCCTCCTAGAGTACAAGCATTTCAGGCATGTGCCACCACACTAGACTACAAAAAAGGATTTGTGAATAACTTCTCAGATAAGGATCATAATTTTTGGTTGTTGGTTGTTTTTTT